TCCCTTGCCTTTCCCGACACCGCCCTCTCCAAGTTCTACTTTATTGGGCTTTTCAGTGGGATTTTCCTCCTCTCAGTCTTAGCGTTGGTTTCCCTTAAACGTCTTCTGTCTTTGCACTTGGTCTTGGAGATTTCCTACATGCTCTCTTTGGGCAGTCTCATCCTCCATCTTATTATGGCTCCAAAATGTATGCTTCTAGCTCTGAACTCTCTTAAGTCTCATGATTTATGTATTTGGATGACTCTCAGGCATCTTAAACCCATTGTTTTCAAGACTTGTATTCATCTCCTTTCCACCAACCGTCCAACCACTGACCACCCATTCTGTCTCAGTGAAGAAACCAGAACCATATTCCTCCTTTCACTGCTCTGCCCTAGTTCGTGACTTTGTTCTGTTCAGGGTGCAGATGCAGAAACCATACTCGCTGTATTAAGCAGGAAGATTTCATGCAGTTGTTGAAGGTGCTGGAGGAACAGCTGCTCCCGCTGCCACCGCCCCCCCCCCCCCAGGGCAGTCGGGAGCTGGGAATTTGAGCTGCTGGCTGCGTGTCACACCACCCTAGCCTGATCTAGGAGGGAAGGATTATTTCAGCCGTCTTTTATCTAATTTCCTTGCCTCCAGTTTCTGCTGCCTTCAGGTTATCCTCTGTTTACAGTCATTTTCTCAGATTGTGTGTTTGTGTACGTTGGAATGTAGACTGAATTCCTTCCCCAGCGTCAAGGGCCGCCGCAGTTTGACCTTTACAGTTTGGGGCCTTTAGCACCCTGCCCTCGTCCCCTCTCGTCCCGCCCTGCTCTGCTGGGTGGCTGATTGTTTCCTCAGCACCTGCTGCTTTTGGTGCCTGTGCAAATTATGTGGTGTCATCTGTTCAAAATCTCCGTTCCTCTCCCTTCCCTCCCCCTGGCTTTAAGATCATACCAAGTTGTTATTTGGTCCAAGATGACTTGCCAGAAAATGCCAGAACTAGCCTCTCCCTTTTACTGTACTCTTCCTGAAGAGCTCTTTACACTCAGTGATTAGTACTTATTAAAAAGTTTTATAGTTTCAGCTCTTCCATTCAGGCGCACGTTCCATTTTAAGTTAATTTTTTGTATGCTGTAAGAAAGGAGTCTGTCTTCGTTGTTTTACATGCAGCTATCCAGTTGTTCCAGCACCATTTGTTGAAGACTGTTCTTTCCCTGTTAAATTCTCTTGCCACCTTGTTGACAATCAGTTGTCCATAATACAGGGGTTTATTTCTGGACCCTCAGTTCTGTTCCATTGATCTGTGTGTCTTTCCTTTTGCTGGTACCGCCCTGTCTTGATATTGCCATTGTTTTGTAGTAAGTTTTGAAATCGAGATGCATGAGCCCCCTCCAAGTTCGTTCTTTTTCAAGATTGTTTTGACTGTTCTGGCTACTTTGAATTTCCGTGTGAATTGTAGGCTCAGCTTACAAATTTCTGTATAAAATCCAGCAGAGATTTTGGTAAGGATTGTGTTGAATCTGCACATCAATTTGGAATGTTGCCATTTTAACAATATTAAGCCTTATAATCCACAAACGGGGTGTTTTTCTATTTGTTTATGTCTTTAATAGCTTTCAACAATGTTTTGTGGTTTTCATTGTACAAATTTTGCACTTCTTGTTATGTCTAATCCCAGGTATTATTTCTGATAGTGTTGTAAATATAATTATTTTGTTAACTTCATTTTCTGATTATTCATTGCTGGTGTGTAGAAATACAATTGATTTTTGTATATTCATCTTATATCCTGCAACCTTTGCTGAACGCTTTGTTAGTTCTATTAGCTTTTTAGTGGATTCCTTAGGATTTTCTATATATTCAGTCATCTTGATAATCTGTGGTCAAATATAGTTTTTTTAATCACAATATTATTTTTTAATTTAAAATACAAACATGCAAAATTAAATTGCAGAGAGAGTATTCAGTGAGATAACATCATTCTCCTGGGTTAAGGTACGTCTGTTATTTGCAGCTCTGCTCTCCTGGAAGTAGTAGGACCATTTGTTTTCATTGTGCTATTTTCCTATGTAGAAACCCTCAATGGCTCCCCATGCTCTTTATGGCAAAAATCTGGATTCTCTGGACTCGTTCTCTAGAGTACTACACAGTACATTGTCAAAGAAAATAGCTTGGAACGGTGAACAGAGCCCGGGGATCATTTGGGAGTCTTGGCTTCTCACCAGCTGTGCGTGGGCAAATTTGGAGGTGTTCTTTATCTTGTGAAATTGCAGAATTGGACTTTTAATTTTTAAAGCATGATTTCCTTTAGTTCTTGGAGCATATTTATAATAGCTGCTTTGAGGTCTTTTCTGTGAAGTCTGACATTTGGGCCCTCAAGGACGATTTCTTTTGCTTGCTTTTTCCTCCTATGTATGGGTCATACTTTCCTGTTTATTTGCATGCCTCATAATTTTTTTGTTGTGAACTGGACATCAGACATTTTGTAGCACTTCTGAATACTGATTCCCTCTTCCCCTTTTCCATGGCTGCTTCTTGTGTTGTTTGCTTGTTTATTTGTTTAGTGACTTGGCTCCTTGAGGTGGGGGAAATCCCCTCTCTTCCCTTCCTGTGTTCTTATGGCTGGACTAATAAAACTGACGCTAGACCCGATTAACAGGAGAAAAACCCAGTTTAAGACACACGTATTGGAGATCATGGAGAAATGATGCTAGAGAGTGAACAGAGCAGGCAGTATATGTATCTTTTATACAAAGAAACAATAAATTTGTGAGGAATGACAGGACAAAGAAACTTAGATTTGAGGTACGTAATTAGTGATGAATTTAAGCTGAGTTTAGGCTTGAGGTAGTAAATTAGCAAGTTTGTTTATGCAGGCTGTTTGGGCCCTGATCCCCTATTCTGGTGATAAGGATGCAGCGAGCGCCTCTCGCAGGGAGATTGATTTCCTGCTCTCAGGGGGAACAGAGACAGGAGGGTCAGAATGCCCTTTGTGCTTCTCAAGTAACTTGAATTCAAAATAATCAACATGCTATTGTGGAATATTTTGGGGTGGCCTGCCCCGGGCCCCAAAACCAACTTCAGTGAAGTTCATTTTTTCTGAGTGTGCATCCTCTGATGCTGCTCCTTAGAGGGCACAGCCTCTTGGGAACACACAGAGTTACCTTGCAGTGCCCTCTTAGGGGATGATGTGGTTTTAGTGGGGCTCTCTTGAACGATCTCTTTCCCTGATCTCCTGGTGAAACTTCTGCCTCTATTGGTGTCACACCCAGCAGTTATTCTCCACTGATAGCTGGCTGATTGCTTGCTGTTCAACTAAGCCCTGGGCCATAAATTGCCTCACAGTGTGATCCAGTTAAATTAGATGGCCCGTGTCGGGGTTGTCTGTGAGGCCAGTCTTTGAGCTGTCCTAACTTAGGAGGGCTCTTCTTAGGGGTCTCTGTCCCCGAGTCTCTCTGTAAACTTCTAGTTGGTCTGCTCTTGGGCATGTTGCTGTCAGGGAGCTACCAGCCTCATCTTAATTGCTCACCACCCAAGTCTCCGTTGTTTTCGACAGTGCCTTTAGGCTTGAGCTTCCCGGTCTCAGTTCCAGCCAGTCGCTTCTCGCAGGGATTGCTTTGCTTAGGGGTTCTCTGTTTTTACAGCCTGCTCCGCGGGCCTTTGCAGAGTCTCTGTGCTGTTGCTCCAGAGCCAGGGGCAGGGACAGCAGCTTGTCCCCTGCTTCGTGTGTGGGGTGCTGGGCTGTGGCTGTAGCCACTGGTGCTCTCACTTTGGAGCTTCTCTTCTCCTGCGTCATCTTGATCAACAAGCTGGGGCGAGGATAATGGGTGCCCATTATTCTCAGCCTGCTGCGCCTAGGGGAGAGCTTCTGTCCTGTGAGCAGGAACTGGGTGTCTCTTGGCCACACTTGCCTGGAATAGAATTTCTACACCATAGAGCTGGGATTAGGAGATGAGAAAGGCTAGAAATCGTAGTCCTGGATTTGGAGCTGGGTGGAGTAATTAGTTAGCAGTTTGTTTCAGTTTTGTGTCTTCGAAAATGATATTATATCCCACCTACCACACGAAGGCTGTTCCCTCTGCCTGGAGTGCCCTTCTTCCCCAGATGGGCACGTGGGCCCACCCTCTCTCTTCCTTTTAAGTCTCTGCTCAGATACCACTTGCCAGAGAGGCTCTTGCGGACCACCCCTATACTGGAGCGCCTCTCCAGCCTCGCCCAGTCACCTCCTGTTTCCCTTACCTGGGTTCATTCGTAGGATTTATCACCACCTGACATGCATACATGTGTATTTGCATACATGTGTATTTGTCTGCATCTCCCGATGAATGTATAGGTTCCATGAGAGAAGGGACTTAGACCGTTCTGTTCACTGCTCTATTCCCTGTACTTAGAAGAGTATCTGACAATAGTAGATTCTCATTAATCGGATGAATGCAAAGCATAAAATGACCCAAGTTTGCTGCCTTCTTCCTCTGCATTTTAAGCTGCCTAAATTGAAGAATATCTAGAGCCGCTATGGGAAGTGAATTTCATGTTGTTTGCCAACTCTAATTGCTTTCTGCCTAGGTTGAGAGAACAGGGCTCATGGGGAAAGAATGCAGGGATTATTTAGCAGCGGCTGCGAGGGCCACAAGAGAGGAGGAGGTGGCATAGGTGCACAGTGCTTGCCATCCCCAGTGTGATGAGACGCTGAAGGACAGGAAATGGGTACATTTTTAGTCTCTATTCTTTTGTAGGTCTTCTGGCTTGCTCCCTCCTTGCCACTGGAAAGTGTTTTTGGACACTTGAGGTTAGGTTGGAAAAGCTACCAGTTTACAGAATGATGTGGAAACTCTTCTGTGGTTATTCCATTGTTAATAGATGTGTACAAATGGGTCTCTTACAAATATCAGAAAGGGACAGCACATTGCTGGGGCCAGTATACTAGCTGCTGCTTGATGGAAAAACGTCATCATTTTCCTATCTAATATGAAGAATGTTTCTTTAAAGTTATTTAAAAATGATTTTGAACTAATGTTTCTTTTTCTTCCTTCTAGATTCCTACGGAAATCTGTTATTTCTCCTTTTTGAGCACTTATGAATAACCACGTGTCTTCAAAACCATCTACCATGAAGCTAAAACAGACCATCAACCCCATTCTTTTATTTTTCATACATTTTATAATATCCCTTTATACTATTTTAACATACATTCCATATTATTTTTTATCTGAGTCAAGACAAAAACCAAACCAAATTAAAGCAAAACCTGTAAATTCAAAACCTGAGTCTGCATACAGAGCTATTAACAGTCTGGATGGTTTGGCTTCAGTATTATACCCTGGATGTGATACACTAGATAAAGTTTTTATGTACGCGAAAAACAAATTTAAGAACAAAAGACTCTTGGGAACTCGCGAAATTTTAAATGAGGAAGATGAAGTACAACCAAATGGAAAAATTTTTAAAAAGGTAAGGTATCTTTCATTGCCTTTGAGTTCCCTCTGAATAAAATGTACTCTTAGAATTGGTGACAAGGGACAAGCCCGGCCTGCTTTTGTTAGAATTTGCTGATGTTGCAGGAGAAACAGGGCAGAAGGGGGCCTGGACTGCTCTCATCTCTTTCTGTACTCTCCAGCACTGGTTTGTTTTCAGTTTTCCCGAAGACATTGAGAATGCCCACTGGTGAGGGGCACTGCTGAGGCTGAATGTCCACCAGGGCCTGGAATAGAATGTCTAGGGCAGTTTTGGGCGTGAAACCATGTTCCCGGGTAGTTCCAGAACCACCTGTGTGTGCTTGCGATTGCCCTGGGTCAGGGGTGTGACCTGCTGTTTCTGATTTTAATGTAGGTTCCGTTGGGCTTAATGTCTTGGTACTTCAGTGGTGGCGGTTGCATGGTTTTTAAGAATTTCTTTTCAGAAATACAGAAGAATCTGCCGTTTGATTTGAAACAGAGAATAAGATGCCCTTAGAGGCAGTGTAACGTGGTGGTGAAGAGCCTGGACTCCAGATCCAGACTATGGCTTTGAATCTTGGCTTTGCCACTTGCCAGCTGTGTGACTTGGGAAAAGGTATTTAGCAAATTTGCCTCAGTGTCATTATTTATAATATGGAGATAGTGATCATTGCTGACATTTATTGGCATTTCCTCTGAGCCAGGCTGTTTTAAGAGCTTTACATCTATCAACGTATTTCAGACACACTCGCCCTATGAGTTAGTGTTATCAAGCTTAGTTTACAGATGACAGCACGGAGGCACAGATAGGTTAGGTAACTCACCCAAGGGCATCACAGCTGGCAAGTGGTAAAGCCGGGACTAGAAACCAGGCCGTCTCGCTCCATACTCCTTAAACTAGTCCCAGCTCTCAGGGTTGTCGAGAGGATTAATTGGATGTGTGTGTGTGTATGGATGTATATACACACATACATACATAGTGTGCGTACAACAGTTTGTGGCATCTAGTGTAAATGCTCTAGCTTTTATTATCATCTTGGGAATTCAGTGGGCAAAATGGTATGAGTGAATATGAAGACTCATCACGGGTTTGTTGAGCACTGTGAAGGATGGTAAGAAATGACATGAAAATGCTGTTTATGGACTCGGCTACATGCCTTTCTTATAAGCAGTTGCGGAAGCTCCAGCAGATAAGAATTGAAGATCAAGTTCTTTTAGAGGCAGTAAGATGATAATTTGGTCCCATTATAGGTTTAGTGCCTGTGTGGGCAAAGTTGTTTTTCTCTCATCCTTGTTTTCCGCCTACATGCTGACTCCAGCTGCCGTTTTCTCAGTCGTGAAGGAGCTCTCCCAACTGGAGGCGAGTCCACGTAACCACGCTGTGGCCTGGGATGCTCAGAGCTCCTCCAGTTACTGCAGGGCCAGGGGGCTGTGGTTGAACTTCCTCAGTGGCCCGTTAATTTCTCCACTTACGGTACTGATTCCTTAGTCATTTTCTTCTACACATAAAGGAGATGGCAAGCAGGTTAATGTCAGTAACTCCTAGGAATTAAAAACGTGATTTTAACGTGAGACAACACAGCCTGTCAACGTTCCCCGCCTTGAAGTAGAGTGACCTTTTATCCTGTGTCTGCAGAGAACTGGTCTGTGCTCGTTCTGGCGTTAATAGTGCCCCCTGACTCTCTCAGAGGTGGTCTGGATAAATTATATGGTCACTCTATTTTTAAGGCATATTCCCTGTTTCTTTCGCTGACTTAGCTTTGCCTCACTTAAATGAATTTTTTCTCCTAATTTAACTTAAGATCCAGCTGAAGTTAATGGCACATTTCTAGAAATTGAAGTCTTGTAGTTAAGCATGTTTGATTATTCTTCTCTAGCCTATAGATTATAGTTTGCAAAACATTTTAGCATAACGATGCCTGATTTTTGTCATATTTAGTTGCAACTTTTTATAGTGTACCATCCTTGATTCTGTCTTTGAGAGATCTGGTAGTTTGAAAGGTACCAAAAACACTGCATTTTTTAGTAAAAGTTTTCTACTCCTTTGCCTTCTCTTCTGTACTGCTCATATTTATCTCTCAAAAACATTCTTTTTTTGTCTTTTGATCTAATACTGTTTGAATTCAAAGATTGGGTTCTCTTATTTTTAATGTAAGCATATATAACAGAAGTCCTATTTTAGGAGGAAGCTTAATTTTTCTCCTGTGTCTCACACACATTATAGGCATTTTTATGGGGCTAGCACTATTTTTTAGTTGTCATTCAGTACTCACAGCAGCAAACCAGTTGCCAAGTATGTAAAAAGGTGAATGATATGGTGAATATGAAATGCCTTCTTAATTCAGTATCAGTTATAATTAAGACGAAATAAAATTCTAGAGCTATCATAGTTGTTCCTTAAATGTGGCCAGATACACAAAGGACACAAGGAAAGTGCTTTTTCCCCTTTGTCTGTGGTGTATGGCTGTGTGTGTATGTGAGTGGCTTTTTCCTCCCTGTGCTGACCATGTGCCTTTGTATTCATTGTTTATTCAACAAAGAAATATTTGAGCTCAAATGGAAAAGTTAGAAGATGAGAGAAACTATTATTAGTGCGTTTTTCTGTCTGTCCTACATGCCTATCGGAGGGTCTGCCTGCCGTGACGTTTGCCAACAAATTGGCATTTGTCATTCGTCAACCTTTTTTCAGAAGGCTTTATATAAACTGTGATATAGAAAACACGTTACATTTTTCTGGTTTGAAATTGGGCTCACTGGGAAAGTAAAACTAATTTTTAGGTTGTGTGTGTAAGGAATGAAGCAGATATTTCCCGTTAGCCTTACTGAAGGAGCAAGTGTGGTATGCTGGCTAGCTCAGACTTCAGTTTCTGTCGGTCTGCGTTGCAGCCGCAGCAGTGGCCTGCAGACTGGACAGTGGGCATCTCAGCTGTGCGTTCAGCAGGCTGGGCTTTCCCCCCGGTGGGTTTCTTGTTGGACGACTGTATTGCAACAGTAGAAGGATCTGCTCTGATAGGAGAGCGGAGGGGGCCTTACACACCTGGCGCTTCGATGTGCGAGTGGAGATGCTCCGGCGCTGTGTCCTGTGCTCAGAGGGCGTGCCAGCAGTGCAGCGCAGACACGCTTGTGAGGAAGTGTGTCTTCATTTAATAGTTTCCATATTTGAGGATCATCTTTCACTGGGAAAGAAAGCTAATGATGTAGCAATATCGAAGTTTCCTCCCTATTTTGTGGGCTGAGTTTTGGAGATTTAACCCTAGAATGTGTCTGATAAGGTTGAAACAAAGGTACTCAGACCTTTATTTCAAATTAATAAACCCTGAAGCTTTGTTCCCATCTTATCCTAAAAGTCAGTTTTGAGCTCCCAAGGGAAGATAAGCAGAAGAGAAGGAGTGGTGATGATTCTGCTCTAATTATGCCCACGATAGTGTGGCCATTAGCTTCACCAAGACAGGGCTCTCCAGGGGGCACAAATAGAAAAACAGAAAGCCAACAGGCAGCGGCTGCTGTGTTCTTGAGGCTTGGCAAGCTCTTTTAGGACTATCGTCTCATCATTTTAAGTTTCATATGGTTTTATAAAACAGAGTTAAGCACCTGGAGTGTGTGTCAGTGTCTCCTGATTCCCGCCTTCCCAGCAGCAAATGCTTGTACTAATGTCTTTTGAAATGAAGAACAGCGAAATGATTGGTTTCCAGAGCATCTTTAAAATACGTGTACCGGAACTAGACAGAGTGGCAAAGAATAAAAATAATTTTACAGAAAAGAGCACAAGGCCAGCTCGAACATTTAGTGATTTAACATCCAGAAACACTGTAATTTTTTTTTCTTATATATTTACACCCATTAGAAGAAAATAGAAGGAACTAGGTAATTATAGTGCTTAGAGAAGATTTCACTATGACATTCCTTCTAAATTGATCAAAAAGATAATAAAAATACTCGTTTCTGTTCTTGGGAGTTGACTTACCTGTTTTCCTCTTCCTGAGTGCCTACTTTTCTGTTGTTTCTTACTTTAGAGTCACATTTTTTATCCTATTTGCATCTGTGTATGATATTTATTTTCTGACTCATTAGGACATTTACATCATAATTAATTTATGTAAAAAAAATAATGGTCCATCTCTTGGCCAGGATTTGGGGTTTGGTTGTTATATTCCTCTCCCCAACCAGAAATTCCTTTCCATCCTTGTTCCCCTTCCTGTCATCCCCGTTTGTTAAAGGCACCACCGTGTACCAGATGGCTCAGACCAAACACGCAGGAGCCTGATTTTTTCCTCACGGCCCGCTCTCCCCTGCTCCTCTTTTTTATAGGTCTTCTGCTGGCACTCTGGCCCGTGCTGTGATCCACTCACTCAGCACTGGACACAGAACCTAGATTCTGGAGGGAGTCTGCCTGGGTTCATGATCTAGTCTGGTCACTTAACAGCTGGGTGATTTTGAGCAAGTTCTACTCACTCTCTGTATCTCAGTTCTCTCCTCTGTAAAATAGGGAGAATAATAGTCACTGTCTCTTAGAGTTATTGTGAGAGTTTAGTAAGCTAATACTTGCAGCGTACTTGGCACAGTCAACACTAGTAAAGGTTAGCTGCCCTCATCAGTATCATCATCATGATTATTACCAGCCATCCAGATCTCTCGAATATTTTCATGCTCTCTGGCTCCCTCACAATAATTTGCTCACAATGATCTTCATTTGCAGAGAGAAAGGTTAACTGAAGCCAGGTGTACTTTGTTGAAGAAGGCAGGAGAGTAGATCATTTTGAAATATTTGTATTCTACATGGTTAAAGTAAAAAAAAATGTCCTAGTGTTGACAGAGGTTAAACTTTCAGCCACCCGAAAACTTGATCTTTATTAGACTGTCTCATTCTTCAGGGCCCTGAAGGGTTAAGTATTTGTGTGCTTTTATTTTAGAGAATGTTCTGTATGTTATCTCCATTTTATTTTTATAGGTTTCTTTTGAGATGAGAGACCCTTAGCATCATCAACACATCTGATTTCATATGTTCCTGAACAAAGTAAATTATTAAGTTCTGGTGGCCTGGGCATGATAGTCTGAGTGATAACACTGATACTTACATGTGTGTGTTTGTGTCAAACCTGTCACAGAATAAAAATACAGCCAGTTAAATGTGAGGGGGGAAAATGACAGAAGGGATCATCTTATCCCTGCCCCTAAGTTTACAAATGAGGAAACTGCTCAGAAACTCCACAGTGGTCCTTCACACAGCCACACTAGTCATTCATTTTCCTGACTCAGGAAAACTGAACATATTTGTGTCTCATATGGGTCGCGAGTAAGCATATTTAAGAGGTGGTAGGCAAAGAATATATGTGATTGAATGGTGATCAGAATAACAGTAGCTGTGGGAGTTAAATGATCAGATGGATATGGATTTATTTCAAAAGCAATTTTTTTAAAAAGGAGGCTGCTAGAGGAGAGGGAGGTCAGAAAACTCCCTCAAAGCCCAGAATAAACTGAAGTTGTGTTTAATTATCCCATCCATTACACACAGTTAGCAAATAATTGCTGAGTGCCTACTGCATGCCAGGTACTGTTCTATTTTTATTTTATTTATTTATTTATTTATTTTTATTTATTTATTTATTTATTTATTTATTTATTTATTTTTGTGAGGAAGATCAGCCCTGAGCTAACATCCATGCTAATCCTCCTCTTTTTGCTGAGGAAGAC